CCGGCTTCCTCTACCAATAAAAACTGGCCGCCACGAAATAGCCCAAAAGCGGTGCTTAAAAGTGGAGTTAAAACACCAAAAATCAAATCAAATCCAATGGAGTTTGCAACCATAATTACCCATTTAAATACATCATAAAAGTCTTAAAATAGAAAATGACATACATAATCATGTCTAAAAATAATATATCTTTAATCAGCATTTTTATTAGTAACTTCTAAAAATAAATTGACAGCTAATCACCTCAAGACAACACAAAATTTCCAATTTTAAAGCAGTGTAAGGGAGGTAATCCAAATTTAACATTGTACTTAAAAGTGATTGTCCATTAACAAGGAAACCCTTGTTTTTTCAGCCTTTTTTGCCTCTAATTCCTAGACGGTTTGAGCCATTACCCCCCAAAGCCAATTCTAACCATCCCTTTGTGGTATGGAAACTTGTTGTACAATTTCAGAGTGATCCATACACCGTTCCACAAGTTATTGTTTGAAAACTAGAAAAATGCTTATTTGGGTCCCTAATTCCTAAACTGTTAGGACCATAACCCCCAAAATCAATCCCAACCTTCCTTTTGTGGTTATAAACCTTGTATTTAAATTTCATAGATTTCTATTAACTAATACTAAAGTTATTGTCCCGAAACCAAGTGTCTTCGGACGACGACAACGACAATGTGATACCAATATACGACCGCAAAAACAGACCAAAACACAATAACTTAACATATACCAATGAACCATGAAAATGAGTTGAAGGTCAGACAATACTAGCCAGACAGACATGTACACCTTACATCCATTCCACACACCAAATATAGTTGACCAAATGCCAATAGTACTTAAAAAACAGACAAAATTGCAAAAACTTAGCATTGACCAATGAACCATAAAATGAGGTCAAGGTCAGATGGAACCTGCCAGACTGACATATGCATGTACCCCTTACAATCATTCCATATACCACATATAGTTGACCTACTGCCTATATTGTCTGAGAAACATACGGAATCACAAAACTTTAACCTTGATGACTGATCCATGAAACAAGGTCAGGGTCAGGTGAACCCTGTCTAACAGACATGTAAATGTTGCAAGGAACCCATATACCAAATATAGTTATCCTATTACTCATTAAGGAGAAATTCACATGACAAAATAACTATAATTTTTTTCAATTAGTTACTGAATCTTGAAAATGAGGTCAAGGACAATGGACATATGACAGACGGAAACTTCACCACATAAGGTATCTGCATACAAAGTACCATAAGAAGCATCCAGGTCTTCTAACTTCTGAATTATAAAACTTTATGCAAATAGTTTACACAGCCGCCGTTGCCTATCCCTATAATCTCTATGTCTCGCATACTGCGACAAAAGTCGCAGATGAGACAAAAACTGGATATAATTCATCATTTAAGGGGAATAACTCCTCTAGGAAGTCGTAAGACTGACAGTTTTGATGTAGGGGTACAGTAGGTAAATCTTAACATTCTAATCTGTTCTGCCTTGTCAGATCTTCTCTATTTACAGAGATATTAAAGATAAAAGACAAAACTTGCATTTTACCCCCTTTGTTCTATTTTTAGCAATGTTAGCCATGTTGATTGGCAAGGGAGTAATCAGACACATTTTCCAAACTAGATACCCCAATGATGGTTGCGGCCAAGTTCGGTTAAATTTGGTCCTCAAGTTTCAGAGGAGATTATTTTTATACAATGACAGACAACACTTGGACATTTTGGTGAGCTAAAAGTCAATATTACAGGGGTAGTAGCTCCAAAACAGATGGACAAAATTTTCAGGTTAGATAGAACTTTTTATGCAGACTATTTCTTCCTTTGATAGTTTATCTCTAAATGCTATAGTTTTAGAGATATTCACAAAAACTGTTGTTTGACCCTTATGTTCTATTTTTAGACATGGTGACCATGTTTGTTGATCAACCTGGACAAAAATCACAACTTTTATAGTTCACATCCTACCGACAAACTTTGATTTCAATCCATTTAGCAGTATCAGAGAAGATTTTTAAAGAAAAGTTTACAGATGATGGATTGACAGCGGAGGCAAAGTGATGGCAAAAACTCACTTGGCCCTTTAGGGCCAGGTAAACTAAAATACCTTATATGACAAACATGAAAATTAGTCAAAAACCGTTGTATAGGCTATGACTTCTTAATTGGTCATCAAATTGTTAAGGTTGTATTGGGATTTTTGTAGATCTTGTATTTCTGATTATTTTTGCTGTTTGCAGTTTATAAGAGACAGTCGAAAGATACCAGAGGGACATTCAAACTCATAAGTCGAAAACAAACCAACAATGCCATGGCGTTTTCAACCTATCTATTATAGTTTTTGAGATGATATGCAAAACTAGAGGCTCTTAAGAGCCTGTGTGGCTCACCTTGGTCTATGTGAATATTCAACAAAGGACACTCTTCAACATTATAGATGAGAATAGAATTCATGACAAAATCCTCTGTTTTGTTGATCTTGTATTGCTAATCATTTAGTCTGATTAGTTTCTCTCTATCTTCTTTAGTTTTTACTCAAAACACAAAGGAGGGCAAAAAAAAATCCTCATTTAAGGCATTCACTCCTATCAAGAGTGACAGTCTACTAACTATATCAGCAAAATTTGACTTGTTAGTAGATCTTGACTTGCTTATCATTTTTGTGATTTAAAGTGTCTATTTATCTATTAAAATTTGAATCATATAAGGCAAAATGCAAAAAAAATGGTAAAAATCTTCATTAAAGGGCAATAACTCCAATAAGGAGTCATCGGACAATTTCCTCCAAATCGTCTTAATTGTAGTTCTTGTCTTGCTGGTCATATTTGCTTATTTAAGTTTCTATCTATCTATTATAATTTTTAAGACATAAGGCAAAAATGCAAAAAAATGGTAAAAATCGTCATCAAAGGGCAATAACTTTAATAAAGAGTCGACTGACGATTTCGACAATGCAGACTTATTTGTAGAACTTGTCTTGCTGAACATTTTTGCAATCAAAAGTTTCTCTCTATCTATTATAGTTTTCAAACTATAGAGAGATCCATACACTTGAACACAAGTTATTGTCTGGAAACTAGAAAAATGCGTTTTTTGGCCCCAAATTCCTAAAACGTTTAGGGCAATTACCCCCAAACTCAAACCCAGCTTTCCCTTTGTGATATGGAACCTTGTAATACAATTTCATAAAGATCCATACACTTACACACAAGTTATTGTTCTGAAACTAAAAAAATGCTTGTTATTTGCCCCTTTTTTGCCCCTAATTCCTAAAATTTTGAGGCAATTACCCTCAAAATCAATCCCAGACTTCCCTTTGTGATATGGTAAATTGCAGTACAATTTCAGAGAGATCCATACACTTGAACACAAGTTATTGTCTGGAAACTAGAAAAATGCTTATTTTTGGCCCCTTTATGGCCCCTTATTCCTAAACCTTTTGGGCAATTTCCCCCAAACTCAATTCCAGCTTTCCCTTTGTGATATGGAACCTTGTAGTACAATTTCATAAAGATCCATACACTTACACACAAGTTATTGTCATGAAACTAGAAAAATGCTTGTTTTTTGCCCCTTTTTTGGCCCCTAATTCCTAAAATTTTGAGGCAATTACCCCCAAAATCAATCCCAGCATTCCCTTTGTGATATGGAACCTTGTGGTACAATGTCAGAGAGATCCATACACTAACACAAGTTATTGTCTGGAAGTTACAAAAATGCTTATTTTTGGCCCCTTATTCTTTAACTGTTGGTACCATAACCCCCAAAATCAATCACAACCTTCCTTTTGTGGTATTGAACCTTGCGGTAAAATTTCGTAGAGATCCATTCACTTAAACTTAAGTTATTGTGCGAAAACCAATGTGTCTTCGGACGCCGACGCCAACGTCATACCAATATACGACCGCAAATAAAAATGAAAAAAAAGGTAAAATTTGTCATTTAAGGGCAATAACTCCTATTAGATGTCGTCTGACAGTTTTGATATATATGGACAATTGGTAGAGCTCAACATTCTGAACATTTTTGCTGTTGTCAGATTATCTTATTTATAACGGTTTTCAAAATAGTAGACAAAACTTGCATTTTATCCCCTGTGTTCTATTTGTAGACATGGCTGCCATGTTGGTTGGCAGACGGGGTCATCGGACACATTTTCTAAACTAGATACCCCAATAATGATTTTGGCCAAGTTTGGTTAAATTTGGACCAGTAGTTTCAGAGGAGAAGATTTTTGTAAAAGTTAACGGACGACAACGGTCAACAGACGCCAAGTGAATTGTTTTACATTGTCATTTCGGGGCCTTTTATAGCTGACTGTGCGGTATGAGCTTTGCTCATTGTTGAAGGCCATACTGTGACCTATAGTTGTTAATTTCTGTGTCATTTGGTCTCTTGTGGAGAGTTGTCTCATTGGCAATCATACCACATCTTCTTTTTTATAATCACTTGGCCCATTGGGCCAGGTGAGCTAAAAACTAAAATTGGTAAAAAAAAATTGTCATTTAGGGGCAATAACCCCCACAGAGTTAACCATTTGTATCTTGCATACAGGCATTTTTGTAGATATTGTATTTGATGATCATTCCAAGCATTCCCTCCCCCCACCCCAAATCAGATTTTCTCTATCTATTATTGTTTTCAAGATTAAAAACAATCACCCTTATACTCTATTTTTAGTCATGGTGGCCATGTTTGTTGACTGGGAAAAAAAACAAACTTTATATTCGATACTCCAAGGACCATTTACTCCAAGTTTGGTTGATAAAGTGTTAACATAGAGATATGTCTTGCCTTTTTGTTATTTTGATAGTAAAATGCAAATGTTGAAATTAAAATAGCAATACTTTAACATGTAAGTTTTAGGTCAAATAGTTTCTAAGGAGAAAATGATAATATGAAATTTACAGATAGAACTTGCATACAAAATGATGACAAAAGCACACTGTTCCTTTGGACTAGTAAGCTTTACAGAAGATACAAGTTATTTTAAATACTTTTTATTGAACAAACTTTGTTAAATAAATAGAATACTATTGCACAAAAATATCTAAACAGAAAAAAGAACAATATTTTAAGACTAACATTAACAAAAACTCAAACAAGGCACTGCATTTAAATACCTAGTGTCAGCATTAAATTACTATGTTTTGATTCTTTTTCAAAACAAACATGAATAAGGCAGTTTTAACTGTCAGTACTCAATGCTTATAGGATCAGCTCTTAACATTTCCTCTTTCAAGAAATTAAAGATGAATACCATTACAGACAACTGTACCATAATATTTTGCTTCCATAATAACAATCAAACTTATATGTTGTAAGGGTACTTTCATGCAGGCATGTAGAAATTCCTGTACATGAAATGCACTTGTGTATTTCTTCTTCACACTAGTGTGTTTATTCTGTCGAAAAATGAAACCCTAAGGAAAATATGTCAGAGAATTTTTATACTAATATGTTTTTTTCAAAAAGAAAGTGTAAACTTCCAGAAAAGTTATAATAGTCATAAATTATGCAGGTGATAAAAAGTGATCAGATTATACAATTTTATTTTTTTGGTTGCAATGAAATACTGTGATTTCCCTGTTAAATAAAAACTGTCATTTCAACATTTGATAAAATATTCACCTTTGACATCATACATCAATAGGTATTTTTCAATACTGAATTAAGACTAGAATAAATTTTTGAAATATTTTGAATCAAATTAAGTAGTGATGTTGTATAAAAATGAAGTGGGAATGCGTAGTAAAATATGTAGTTCCTTGCATCTACTACTTTATTTACATTTATAGTAAATGTAACAAAAAATATAATTTTTCCAAGAAAAAAATACAAAAAATATTCAACTTGAGACAGAAAAACATTGATAACCCACTCATGCACTATGGCCATTCATGAATCAATGTGTTGTTTGGTCACCCTATTAAAGTAATTTTCAATATTTAAATTATTAGAGTAGTTATGCTTTAAATATTCTTTATGAATAAAATTCACCTATTTTTAAAAGGATTCAGGATTTTTACTACATCTCAAATTAAAGGTTCTATATCTAAGCTCTTATCATATCTCCTATTTTTGACTTTTCATAGATTTAAATATTCAGTGATTCAAAAGACTTTACTGACTCCAGATCTTTACCCTAGTGCCATCACAAAATTTCATATAGTATAAAAATTCAAAATTAAGCAAACAAATAATAAATAAAACAAGATTCAAATAAAACTGTAAAAATAAAAACATTGTGAAAGAACCATTTTTCTTGAAGAATAAACAATAACACAAATAACAAACTACTTCTTTTGTTTACACAGTAGTTTCATAAGTTCTTTAAACTGTGGTTAATTTTAAGCAAAACATTAAATTTAATCAACAGGTTTACAGAGATATTTTCATTTTAGTGACAAAATGTGTATATTTTCCAAATAAGTCAAAAATCGCAAGTCTAAGATAAGTTTTCAACTTTTTCTTTTTTAATTTTAAGTCAGAACTGAAAATTAAAAAAAATCCTTTACTTTAATAGAATTTGATGTTTACAACCCTAGAATTATAATGTCAGAATTTTTACTCATTTTGATCACTCTTTAAAAGTTGTATGCAATATAAATTCTTCCTCCAAAAAAATTCATGGAGTAGGTGTCCGTTTTTATTCTGATGAGTATATTAGTTTTTCTCAAAAAAGTATATTGAAAAATGTGGACTGGCAGAAGGCTACATCATAATATTTAAAAACCTAAAAGCAAATATTGCACAAGCGATCTGTTTTTAAAAAGGAAACGGTAAAAATTTGTGAACACAAAAATAAATATGTTTACAGTAAATTCCTTTTTTACCCTTAAGCACTGAAATTCCTTTTGACATTCAGATAGACTTTCCCAATAGGGAACCAACAATTAAAGTGGCTAAACTTGTAAGAAGTAATTTCAAAGTGTTCCACAAATTCAAACAGTATAAGGTACTTTGTATAAAAATCACAAAATGAAATTAAGTTAAAGGTTAGTAGTATAAAAACTCATTTAGCAAACAAAATTTCAGCTCTTTTTTATGTAAATTTGAAAGTCTGGTATGTTTTTTTATATATAAATTTACATAAAAAACGCATGTTTAATAAATAAAACTATACAAAAGACACATTTTACTCAGAGGTAATTTGTCCATGGTCAGTAGTGATCGGAGACCATACAACTAAAGCATTTAAGATTTCTTTCTAAACAGATGATAATATAACATTGAAAAAAATAGTATACATCTGGTAAGATGAAAAGATTATTTCTTGTCTCAATGCTCCACTATTTATTCTCAGTTACTAACATGACAATGATTAATAAAAATCAAAAGTATTCATTACAAACAACTATATTATGGAGGAAACTCAAACATATGAACATTAACACAGAATATAAGATGGCTTCCTATGTATAAATCATAACAATTAGCATAACCATAATACTGTGTTCTATATGTATTATGCTAGCTCATAGCCCAATTCTTTCATATCACTTCTGCTTAAAAAACATTATATTGCACATGATCTACTGCTTTCTTTAAAATAAGTTATGATGAAGACTGGATTTGAATTTAGTTTTACAGAAGTTTTAGTTCTTACTTTTCCACTTCCAAAGAAACTTTTCAAATTTTCCTATATCGTCTTTTAGCTTTTGTTCTATTGTGCTTTATAAGTTGTTTTTTTTTATAAACTTTTATGCTTTAATTTTTTTACTTTTTAAACTTTGTGGTTGACCAGTTTTTTTATTTTTGTATTTCAATCCTTTACGCACATTACTTTTGTATTTTATTTCTTTACTTACCCACTTTGTACAGTGTTTTATTCCTTTAACCATTTTGTTTAAGTATTTTATTCCTATAAACATTTTTTTTTTGTATTTTATTCTACAATTTCATTTTTGGATTTTATTCCTTATCCGCTTTATTTTCGTACTTTATTCCTTTAACATCTTTGCAGTTGTTAATTTGTTAATAATTTGTAATTATTTTGCTACAACTTTTGACACATTTGATTTTATATCTAACAATTCATCATTAAAGAATCAACTTTATAAATGATTCTTTTGATATCAAAAATCTCTTCTAATACACAACTTCTATCAAGAAAGAAAAAAGTATAACCAGTTCTGGAAATCAAACGTGATAAAGCAATTAACAATCTAGCAATCATCTGCAGAGATTTCTGAATCACAAGCAACCATTAGCTATATATGTTCTTTGCCTGGTAGGAGAATTTTGAGACAAATTGGTTTGGTTAAATTTGTTTTAAGGTATCAGAATCCCAATCAATCAGGTGTGTTTCACTACAACTTCTAAGAGAATACATATATCAAAACCAAGGAAAAAATATCCTCCACCAGAAAAAGAGTTTTATAAAATGGAAATTGTATTTTTCTATGTGATTTGATAAGTCGATAATAAATCCACCAATCAGAATATTTTCATTATCAGTAATTTTTAAATATCAAGGATAAACGTAAAAATTTGTAAGGGGTTCTGTAGAACCCTGTGTCTCGCCTATGATTGCTGCTGTCAGTGTAAAAGTGTAATGGTGACTTAAAAAGTGAGTCCATTTATCAGTAAAATACAGATTTTTTTTTAAATTTCAAACTTTTTCAATAGATGCTATTTCATGGTCTTGAAGATTAGTTTTTGTTCAAGTTTCATAAAAATCCATGAAGGTTTACAAATGTATCATGTTAAAAAAGGTATAATCCCAGACTGTCTGTAAATGTGAACTGTAAAAAAAAGTCCGTCTATCAGAAAAATACTGAAAATGAAAAAAAAAAAAATTTCAAAAGTTTGCTTTAGACATTATCTCTAATCATAAAAAGCTTCTGCCAATTATTCAAATAATTCTATGAAGGTTTGATAAAGTAATTGATGTGTAACAAACTTTAACCCCAGGCTGCATCTACTTGTAAAATGTAAAAAAAATTAAGTCCATTTATAAGTTAAATTCGGAAAAATGAAATTAAATATTTTCAAAATTTTGCTCTAAATATTGTATTTTGTTATAACTAAGCTTCTGTCCAAATTTCCTATGAAGGTTTGACAAAGTGATTGATGACTGAAAAACTTTAACCTCAGACTGTATATGCTTGTTAACTAGTTCTACTTGTTACCTGTAAAAAAAAACTGTCCATTTATCAGTAAAATACGAAAAATGAAAATAAATATTTTCAAAATTTTGCCCTGGATACTGTCTTTTGGTCATAATCAAGCTTCTGTCCAAATTTCCTAAAATGCCATGAAGGTTTGACAAAGTTATTGATGACTGAAAAACTTTAACCTCAGATTGTATCTACTTGTTAACTGTAAAAAAACTTACTCCATTTATCAGTAAAATACGGAAAAATGAACATAAATATTTTCAAAATTTTGCCCTGGATACTGTCTTTTGGTCATAAACAAGCAGACTAAACCTTAATGTTGAAAACTCCAAAGATGGAATCTAGGATCCCTATGTCTCACTTTCGATACATAAATGTTGCAGGCTTCACAAAAATCACAAACAGCTCCAAATTTTACCTTGTGTTGACTTTATATTTTAATCTATAATAAGTCAAATATATTCAGTCCAATTTTAGAGAAGGCATTTTTGTTTTAAACAAAGTTTCAGATAAGTTAAAAAGGTTAGTTTTCAGAGCAAACCTTCATCTTTTATCCTTTCTTAAACAAAACTCAAATGTTAAGATCGATGTAGAACAAATGAAATTGCTTTATAAAAACAATTAAGGTTTATTTGTCAAAAAACATTAGAAAATAATGTAAATACACAAATAAATAAGTGCATTTATTATTATAAATTTTTGATCATGTTGATAGCTAACAATATTGCTAGATTTATTAATGTGATTGTAGTAAATACTTAAGTACAAAATAACTAACAAAGGTCAAAATGTGTGTTTTAATTATTCTGATGTTTATCATGTCTCATATTTTGCATTAAAAATATCAAATTTATTTCTGAACTCAAAGTATGCAATAATAATGTGTGATACTACCACCAAAGCTTATTCCGGTTGCTATGAATTATATAATAAAATGCTTCGCTGAGCGCAGCCTGATACGACCGCAGAGGTCGAACCCTGAACAGTTTGGGCAAATTTGGACACAATATTCAAGCTTGATACTGTCTGAATTTGGATTGTGATCAAATTTTTGACATAATATAGGTTTCTGACACAAAATAAATGTGGTCAAAGATCTTACAAATATATTGCGCAATATTGTCGATTGAAGATTTCTTCTTGAAACTTTTCAAAAATTCAAAATTTGAAAAATTTTGAAAAAAAAATATGAATCCCTTAAAAAAATAGGGAAAAAAATCCCCCCCAATTTTTTGAAAACCCCCTTGGAGCAATAACCCCAAAACTCAATCCCAGCCTTTCCTTTCGTAGTATGGAACATTGTAGTACAATTTCAGAGAGATCCATACACTTAAACACAAGTTATTGTCTGGAAACTAGAAAAATGCTTGTTTTTGGCCCTTTTTTGGCCCCTAATTCCTACATGTTTGGGGCAATTAACCCCGAACTCAATCACAGCCTTCCCTTTGTTATATGGAACCTTGTGGTACAATGTCAGAGAGATCCATACACTTACACACAAGTTATTGTCTGGAAACTAGAAAAATGCTTGTTTTTGGCCCCTTTTTGGTCCTTAATTCCTAAACTGTTGGCCCCATAACCCCTAAAATAAATCCCAACCTTCTACTTGTGGTATTAAACATTGTGGTACAATTTCAGAGCAATTGAAATACTTATACACAAGTTATTATCCTGAAACTAGAAAAATGCTTGTTTTGGGCCCATTTGGGCCCTTAATTCCTAAACTGTTGGGACCATCATCCCCACAATCAATCCCAACCTTCCTTTTGTGGTATTAAACCTTCTTAAAAAATTTCATAGAGATCCATTCACTTAAACTTAAGTTATTGTCCGGAAACCAATGTGTCTTCGGATGACGACGCAGACGACGACATCATACCATTATACGATCCCAAAAATTTTTTTGCGGTTGTATATAAAGATATATATTGAAAGCTTTAGGTAATACAACTCAATTTCTGCGTATTAATTTACATGAATTTGCAAAATGATCACATATCGAAATATACAATTCTTCAAAACTTGTTACAATGTACTTGGAAAACAGAAAAAATGCTGCATTATGCAGTAGAACTGAAATAACAAAAATAACAAATAAATAGTAAAACCAACATCACATAAATTTTATGCATATTTGTTAGTACATGTAGCATGACTTTGTCTTTCAGAAAATTTACAATGTGGTATGTGGCTTTTTACTCCTTGTATGATGAGCAATCAACATATTTCAACAGGAGTAATGGCAGGTATAAATAGTAAAGCAGGAACTGCCTACCCTTCCAGAGATCAACCCAAGTTTTTGTATGGATTCGTACTGCTCAACCTTTAGTTTTCATGGACTGTTCATCCATTTCCTTCTGGCTATGGTGTGGTCTTTTTTCTTGACTTATTTTTTTTTTATTGCCCACTTGGTATCTTTTCCCCTTTTTGTTATGAATATTGTTAATTCAAAACATAAAACAAAGCCTTTGTTCATTTTGCTATTCTACATGTTACTGGTTGCAACATTTACAGTTAAAGCACAGATGAAATAATCATTGAACAGTCTCCCCTTTTGTATCATCAAATCTTTCTATCTTGTCTGAAAAATTTTTTTAAAGTATAAAACAAGGAGTAAAGTGCCACAGCAGAAAGTAAGGTTATAAATATGTCTAACATTGAATGAGCAATCTATGATGTATCTACCCTTTTTGATATGAAGTACATACACAGTATATATTAAAATCTTCTTGTATAAATGCATGAGAATATTTTTTGAAGCTGACTATGATTGACGGGTCTGTCTGAATGGGTTTAACTTTTTGATGAATGTTCTGAGTCCTTTCCCACGTCTGTGCTTCTTTGGTTTATCATCAGAATATTCCCTCTCCACATTACGAATCTCTCTTATAAGTGAAAGAAATATGTCATCTACACACTGTCTTGTTACTGCTGAAGTTTCATAAAATGGACATTTAAACTGATGAGATAAAGCAATGCCTTCATCTGGTGTGACCTATTAAAAATAATTGTACTTATAAATCAATGAAAATCTACCAATGTTTAATTAACATAGTATGTAATCTGGACTGTAAAATAGTTTTAAAATCGCTACAAATGTACATTTTTACTTTCTTCACTTTGTGGATATAAGAAAATAAAAATGAATGACAAATTAGTTTACTGTTATCTCCCCTTTATTCTTAAAAGTCAAAATGAACTTTGATGATATATATAACCACAATAGAAAAGACTATTATTTCATTGGGTCAGTCGAGCAAAGAACTACCAGTTTCAATAATGTGCATTCTCAATCATTATTTACCTTTCTTTTCTCATGAAGATCACATTTATTTCCGACTAGAATAACTGGTATATCATCTCTACACCTCACTTGATTGATCAGTTTCTTATAAGTTAACATTTCATCATAACTTCTCCTATCAGTAATAGAATAACACAATATAAAACCTTCTCCTTTCCTCATATACTGTTCCCTCATTGTGTTAAATTCAGGCTGAAAAAGACAATACTGTTAAAGAACATCCTTTTAACAATTTATTTTAGAAACTGAATTAACAATGTAATTTTTTCTTCAAAATCTGGCAACAAACATGACACTCCCTATCCTTCCTTAAGTTCAATGATTGACCCTTACACTGATCACTATCTTTACATTTGTTTGCACTGGTTTCTTCTAGTATTTTCCTTGGCACCTTTAAACACCATGGTTCCAAATTCAAAGGATTATACATGTATCTGAATAGATTTTAAAATAGAAAGTTTTATAAATGTGGAGCAATTATTATGGGGGAAACAGTAGTATTTGAAATCACATAGTGCTACTGCAAATTCAGAACGTTATACCGATACACAGAAATAAACATTCACATTCTAAATTTTGATGGCATTTTTTGTATGCATCAGTCTACCTCAGGAATAGATAACTTTAGCTGTATTTGGCAAAACTTTTAGGAATTTTTGGTTCTCAATGCTCTTCAACTTCGTACTTTATTTGGCCTTTTTAACTTTTTTTGATTCGAGCGTCACTAATGAGTCTTTTGTAGACGAAACGCGCGTCTGGTGCAAATACAAAATTTCAATCCTGGTATTCATGATGAGTGTATTTGTAAAATTGCAATAATTAATCTCACTTTTTTGGTCAATGTTCAACAATCACAACAATAAATACATGCAATAGTTTTTTGAATTTACCGTATTTGAAAACACAGGTACCTCGTCATACTTTTTTTAAAAACAATACAAGGTTTTTTAATGTTCCAAATGCATAATCAAGGGAGACAGACATGTAGTTTTTTACCTGTGAAATGCCATGTGGGGATTTCAAAAACAGTGTTAATGAATCATGGTCAACAATCGATTTATCTAGGTTGCAAGCAATTTGCTTAATAAAAAAAATCTTGATATATCCTCCCCCCCCTCAAAGTTCTTCTGAAATAACCTTTATCATCCTAACATTGTTACCATAAGTAAGTTCCTGCACAAACATATGCAATAGAGATTTTATGCTATGTTTTTCTGGTAAAAATCCACTTTTTAAAAATTTTACTGGAAAAAAAAGTTATTTAATCAAGGTTTTGGTTATTAGTTAACGTGTTGGCACTCGGCAGTATCAGAAACATTGATGATATATTTTACTTTAAAGACTGAAAGTACCATTCAGAAATTAAGAGATTCATTTGAATGAGACATTTTTAGTATGATAATGTATGAACCTGTCCAGCTGTATCTAGAATATCCAACAGAGCTGGCTCTCCATCTATCCTGGCCTGTTTCTGATAGGAATCCTCTACAATAAAAATGTATCACGTCAAATTAACAGAATTATAAGGCCATCTCTTTATAATTTGTTTTATATTTCCAAATACACTTTATGTACACTAGATGGATGCAATATGTCTAACTTCTTTTTAGATACATTTTGTTACTGTGTAAATTATGTATAATGATCAATGAGGCTAGAATTTAACAAATTTGTTTCTCCTTACATTAAATTTCTATTTCAAGTACTGTAGACTAAAATCATGTACCAGGTACATGTATATTATAATAATATAATAGTAATAAATTCTGTATATGCAAGAGAATGATAATCCCTTTCTTCATGAATAAGTATGAGCGTTAGCGAGTACTTATCATGAAGTAAGGGATTATCATTCTCTTACAAACTTAGAATATTGTAAAGTGCTCAAGGCTCAAATGATCTATTCAAGAATTAGTTTCATTGTCAGTGCAATGTTTTATAATTGATGCACGACTTCCTTTTTCGGCATGTCATTTATGGATTAGTTTTAGTGATGTGAGGACTTTCATATCATTTGGGAAATATTTTTTAATAAAATGCTTCGCTGGGCGCAGCTTGATACGACCGCAGAGGTCGAACCCTGAACAGTTGGGGCAAGTATGGACACAACATTCAAGCTTGATACAGCTCTGAATTGGGATTCTGATTAAATATTTGACACAGCATAGGTTTCTGACACAGAAAGAATGTGGTCTAAGAACTTGATTTTTTTTAATTTACCTATTATGGTCCAATGTTCAAAATCAAAATACATGGTTAGATTCAGTCCAATGTCCAAAATCAAAATACATGGTTAGATTCAGCATATCAAAGAACCCCATATATTCAATTTTTGTTGAAATAAAAAAAAGTTTAATTTTGGACCCCAACTTGGACCAACTTGAAAACTGGGCCCATAAATCAAAAATCTAAACACATGTTTAGATTCAGCATATCAAAGAACCCCAAGAATTCAATTTTTGTTAAATCAAACTAAAGTTTAATTTTGGACCTTTGGACCTTAATGTAGACCAATTTAAAAAACGGGACCCAAAATTAAAAATCTAAAAACACGGTTAGATTTGGCGTATCAAAGAACCCCAATAATTCAATTTTTGATGAAATCAAACTAAGTTTAATTTTGGACCCTTTTGATCTCAATATGAACCAATTTGATAGCGGGCCCACAAATAAAAAATCTAAATACATGGTTAGATTCAGCATATCAAAGAACCCCATATATTCAATTTTTGTTGAAATCAAACGAAGTTTAATTTTGGACCCCAATTTTGACCAACTTGAAAACTGGGCCAAAAATCTAAAATCTAAATACATGTTTAGATTCAGCATATCAAAGAACCCCATATATTCAATTTTTGTTGAAATCAAACAAAGTTTAATTTTGGACCCCAACTTGGACCAACTTGAAAACTGGGCCCATAATCAAAAATCTAAACACATGTTTATATTCAGCATATCAAAGAACCCCAAGACTTCAATTTTTGTTAAAATCAAACTAAGTTTAATTTTGGACCCTTTGGACCTTAATGTAGACCAATTTAAAAAACAGGACCCAAAATTAAAAATTTAAATACACGGTTAGATTTGGCATATCAAAGAACCCCAATAATTCAATTTTTGATGAAATCAAACAAAGTTTAATTTCGGACCCTTTTGACCTCAATATGAACCAATTTGATAGCGGGGCCCACAAATAAAAAATCTAAATACATGGTTAGATTCAGCATATCAAAGAACCCCATATATACAATTTTTGTTGAAATCAAAAAAAGTTTAATTTTGGACCCCAACTTGGACCAACTTGAAAACTGAGTCCATAATCAAAAATCTTAACACATGTTTATATTCAGCATATCAAAGAACCCCAAGACTTCAATTTTTGTTAAAATCAAACTAAGTTTAATTTTGGACCCTTTGGACCTTAATGTAGACCAATTTAAAAAACAGGACCCAAAATTAAAAATTTAAATACACGGTTAGATTTGGCATATCAAAGAACCCCAATAATTCAATTTTTGATGAAATCAAACAAAGTTTAATTTTGGACCCTTTTGACCTCAATATGAACCAATTTGATAGCGGGGCCCACAAATAAAAAATCTAAATACATGGTTAGATTCAGCATATCAAAGAACCCCATATATTCAATTTTTGTTGAAATCAAAAAAAGTTTTATTTTGGACCCCAACTTGGACCAACTTGAAAACTGGGCCCATAATCAAAAATCTAAACACATGTTTAGATTCAGGATATCAAAGAACCCCAAGAATTCAATTTTTGTTAAAATCAAACTAAGTTTAATTTTGGACCCCAACTTGGACCAACTTGAAAACTGGGCCCATAAATCAAAAATCTAAACACATGTTTAGATTCAGCATATCAAAGAACCCCAAGAATTCAATTTTTGTTAAAATCATACTAAAGTTTAATTTTGGACCTTTGGACCTTAATGTAGACCAATTTAAATAAACTGCTTCGCTGAGCGCAGCTAGATACGCCCTCAGAGGTCCAACCCTGAACAGTTGGGGCAAAAATGGACACAATATTCAAGCTTGATTCAGGTCTGAATTTGGATTGTAATTAAATATTTGACATATTATAGGTTTCTGAATAAATGTATTCAAAGAACTTGAAATTGGTTATATGAATTGAATTTATGTTCAATTAAAGATTTCTTGCTGTTGTGCAATACTTAGTAAATCTGTTGTCAGACTATAAACAAATAAAGTATAATTAATTCTCAATGTCATATTAGAAATTTATGAAAATAAAAAGGGAGCTTACATCAATAGATATAAACAATTCACCAAAGTTTCATGAGAATTGGTGACAGCATTTTTGAGTTATTGTCAGAAAACTGGAAAATCACCCCTTTTTAATGAATAAAACCCCATAACTCAGAAATGTAAAATGTAAAATTTATAAAATTCTAAAGGGAGCTTACATCAATCCATACAAACAATTCACCAAAGTTTCATAAGAATTGCTGAAAGCATTTGTGAGTTTTTGTCTGATAACTGGAAAGTCCCCCCTTTTTTTATGAATAAAACCCTGTAACTCGGAAACGTAAAATCTAAAATTTATAAAAATCAAAAGGGAGCTCATGTCAATAGATATAAACAATTCACCACAATTTCTTGCAAGTTGGTGAAAGCATTCTTGACTTATTGTTCGAAAACTGGAAAATCCCCCTTTTTTTAATGAATAAAACCCCATAACTCGGAAACGTAAAATCTAAATTTTATAAAAAATGAAAGGGAGCTCACGTCAATAGATATAAACAATTCACCAAAGTTTTATGCAAATTGGTTTAAGCAATTTTGAGTTAATGTCCGACATGTTGACGACGGACAGACGGACGGACAGACGGACAACGGTATACCATAATACGTCCCGTAAACGGGCGTATAAAAACGGGACTCAAAATTAAAAATCTAAAAACACGGTTAGATTTGGCATATCAAAGAACCCCAATAATTCAATTTTTGATAAAATCAAACTAAGTTTAATTTTGGACCCTTTTGACCTCAATATGAACCAATTTGATAGCGGGCCCACAAATAAAAAATCTAAATACATGTTTATATTCAGCATATCAAAGAACCCCAAGACTTCAATTTTTGTTAAAATCAAACTAAGTTTAATTTTGGACCCTTTGGACCTTAATGTAGACCAATTTAAAAAACAGGACCCAAAATTAAAAATTTAAATATACACTGTTAGATTTGGCATATCAAAGAACCCCAATAATTCAATTTTTGATGAAATCAAACAAAGTTTAATTTCGGACCCTTTTGACCGCAATATGAACCAATTTGATAGTGGGGCCCACAAATAAAAAATCTAAATACATGGTTAGATTCAGCATATCAAAGAACCCCATATATACAATTTTTGTTGAAATCAAAAAAAAGTTTAATTTTGGACCCCAACTTGGACCAACTTGAAAACTGAGCCCATAATCAAAAATCTAAACACATGTTTATATTCAGCATATCAAAGAACCCCAAGACTTCAATTTTTGTTAAAATCAAACTAAGTTTAATTTTGGACCCTTTGGACCTTAATGTAGACCAATTTAAAAAACAGGACCCAAAATTAAAAATTTAAATACACTGTTAGATTTGGCATATCAAAGAACCCCAATAATTCAATTTTTGATGAAATCAAACAAAGTTTAATTTTGGACCCTTTTGACCTCAATATGAACCAATTTGATAGCGGGGCCCACAAATAAAAAATCTAAATACATGGTTAGATTCAGCATATCAAAGAACCCCATATATTCAATTTTTGTTGAAATCAAAAAAAGATTAATTTTGGACCCCAACTTGGACCAACTTGAAAACTGGGCCCATAATCAAAAATCTAAACACATGTTTAGATTCAGCATATCAAAGAACCCCAAGAATTCAATTTTTGTTAAAATCAAACTAAGTTTAATTTTGGACCCCAACTTGGACCAACTTGAAAACTGGGCCCATAAATCAAAAATCTAAACACATGTTTAGATTCAGCATATCAAAGAACCCCAAGAATTCAATTTTTGTTAAAATCAAACTTTAGTTTAATTTTGGACCTTTGGACCTTAATGTAGACCAATTTAAAAAACGGGACCCAAAATTAAAAATCTAAAAATACGGTTAGATTTGGCATATCAAAGAACCCCAATAATTCAATTTTTGATGAAATCAAACTAAGTTTAATTTCGGACCCTTTTGACCTCAATATGAACCAATTTGATAGCGGGCCCACAAATAAAAATTCTAAATACATGGTTAGATTCAGCATATCAAAGAACCCCATATATTCAATTTTTGTTAAAATCAAACTAAGTTTAATTTTGGACCCCAATTTGGACCAACTTGAAAACTGGGCCCATAATCAAAAATCTAAACACATGTTTAGATTCAGCATATCAAAGAACCCCAAGAATTCAATTTTTGTTAAAATCAAACTAAGTTTAATTTTGGACCCCAATTTGGACCAACTTGAAAACTGGGCCAAAAATCAAAAATCTAAATACATGTTTAGATTCAGCATATCAAAGAACCCCATATATTTAATTTTTGTTAAAATCAAACAAAGTTTAATTTTGAACCCTTTGGACCTTAATGTAGACCAATTTGAAAACTGGACCCAAAATTAAAAATCTAAATACACGGTTAGATTTGGCATAACAAATAAATAAATGTGGTCAAAGATTTTACAAATCTAATGCGCCATACTGTGCAATTAAAGATTACTTCTTGAAATTTGAAAAAAAAATAATATTTGAAGAATAATTCTTTTTTATTTCTGAAATCTGAAATGAGAAAAAATTGACCCCCACAATTTCTTTTTACCCCTCCCCCCCCTTTTTTCCCAAAAAAAATTCTTTCCCTCAAGTCTTACATGTGGATTTTTTTGTAAAAAAAAAAGATGCAACATTTGCAGATATTTTTACTGGTCTTCCTTTATAAATATGCATTTCTTTAAACATAATTTAAAAACAGTGTAAGGGAAGTAACCAAAACGTTGTATTTGGATTACCTCACTTACACTGTTTTAAATTATCTTAATTGTTCATTAACCATTACTTTATACATAATTTAAAAGCAGTGTAAGGGAGATAATTTCAATGACGTATTTGATTTATCTCCCTTACACTGCTTTAAATTATGTTTTGTACTAAAGTATTTGTCCATTAACCAGGACAACCTTGTTTTTCCCCCTTTTTTGCCCCTAATTCCTAAACAGTTTGAGCCATTACCCCCCAAAGCAAATCCTAACCATCCCTTTGTGGTATGGAAACTTGTAGTATAATTTCAGAGAGATCCATACACCGCTCCACAGTTATTATTGTCTGGAAACTAGAAAATGCTTATTTTTGGCCCCTAATTCCTTAACTGTTGGTACCATAACCCCCAAATTCAATCCCCACCTTCCTTTTGGGGTATTGAACCTTATGGTAAAATTTCAAAGAGATCCATTTACTTAAACTAAAGTTAGAGTGCGAAAACCAATGTGTCTTCGGACGACGACGACAACGACGTCATACCAATATACGACCGCAAAAATTTTTTGCAGTCGTATAAAAAATGCGTTATAGATATTAGATGACACAACAGTAGAAAGAAAAGGTAGGAATTGTATGTTTCCTGATTGTGAGTATAAATGTAAATCATGTAATATTTTAGTGAGGAATTATCCTTTTTTTATTTACAGTTTAAATCAATTAATACATTTGAGTTACAACTAAATTCTATTTCACAGCCAATAATTTGGTCCGGCTTTTTACATCTAATACTGTTTCATTATGTCAGGGAAATGTTCAAAAATAATGCCCTTAAAAGTTTTTAATATGTTCAAAATTAAATTCCTGTTTTTTTTATCGGAATACATGTATTGGAAATAACTATTCTCCCCAACCGCTGATCAAGTAATCAAAGTTTTGGAAAGCTAAAGATTTAGGTTATTTTTTATCTGAAAGATTTAAAAAAAAAAATTTTTGCATTGCTTTGGTATTGTTTAATTTTATAGTAATTTGAAGTTATTAATATTTTCATAACATTCATGGTACCAATTTTACTGCACCAGTAAACTTCAACTTATTTTGAGATTTTTGTTTGTTTCACAATTCAACTTTTAGTCAGTTTCAATCACTGTGTGATAAATCCTTTCAATCTGATAAATGTGCTTCGGGGCAGTTGTAACTCATTTATAAAAACTCTTTGTTTTGAACTGTAAATAGACCAAAATAATAGGATAATCCCTTACTAAGAACATGATTTACATTCATTCTTCACAATTAAGAGGCATCCAATCCTACGATTTCATTGGTCGAGAGTAATTTGCTATATTCTAATTATTTAAAGAGGGTAAACTCAGTTAGTTACAATAAACTAATCTTCCCTGAGGCCCTCACATACAAATTACAATACAATCAAAAACAGATATTTACACATAGTTAATTTACAGTCAATTAGTTCAATGTAATATTACTACAAATGTAACATGATAAGATATAAAGCTGTTCAAGATGCACATGTAGTCAAAAAATTAAAAAAAAGAAAAAAAAAAAGAATATACAAATACATTGTAGTAAACATAATCTTATCAGGACTGTGTTAAGTACTTCTTGATACTTTGTTTAAAAGTATAAGTGTTTTGAGCTTTACACATTTTGTGTGGTAGTCCATTCCATAACACTGATCCAGAATAAACAAAAGATTTCTTAAATAGCTCAGCTTTTGGCTTAGGAACTATCAGATTACCTTGAGTGACACCTCTCAAGGAGTAAGGATTATTATCTGATTTCAGTTTAAACTTTTGAACTAGGTACATCTGTGCTTCCATACGCATACATTTATATAGAAGTAAATATTTGTGATATTTGATTCTATTGTCAACTGTCATCCACCCAAGTTTATTAGGTATTTTGATGTTTGGACCTACATTTCCTGTAAAAAAAACTGTCAAAAACTCATGTTTTTTTTATGTTCTTTTTTATTGTTAACATTGGAAATTCAACAAACAGCAATTAAGATGAGAAAATAAGATTTTTGTGATTTCTTATTATACAAATCTTTTTTTATATAATAATATCACTATATAGTATGTATTTACCTATCGTTGGATCATGGTAGTCAAGAAATCTGTGGTATACAAACTGTATCACAAGTGCTGAAAGCAGAACAAACATACTATGTAACAGTATCAAACATCTGACATTAGCATCAAGAAGGTGCTACAATTCAAACATCTGACATTAGCATCAAGAAGGTGCTACAATTCAAACATCTGACATTAGCATCAAGAAAGTGCTACAATTCAAACATCTGACATAAGCATCAAGAAGGTGATACAATTCAAACATCTGACATAAGCATCAAGAAGGTGATACAATTCAAACATCTGACATTAGCATCAAGAAGGTGATACAATTCAAACATCTGACATAAGCATCAAGAAGGTGCTACAATTCAAACATCTGACATTAGCATCAAGAAGGTGCTACAATTCAAACATCTGACATTAGCATCAAGAAAGTGCTACAATTCAAACATCTGACATAAGCATCAAGAAGGTGCTACAATTCAAACATCTGACATTAGCATCAAGAAAGTGCTACAATTCAAACATCTGACATAAGCATCAAGAAAGTGCTACAATTCAAACATCTGACATTAGCATCCAGATAGTGATACAATTCAAACATCTATCATTAGCATCAAGAAAATTTGTAGAATTCAATATATTGATCCTAAATGTATATAAAATCATAGTAAATTTTGTTAAAAAACACTTCCTTATTACTTGTAATGCAGTCATGAAATGATAGTGAACATGGTGAATATGTACAGTTCAATGACAAAATTAAACAAAATTTTGACCAATCGACCTGCACATTGTTAAAAAGATAATAAAGCACAACCCGTTCCAAAAATATATTCTGAAATAAACATATTGTCGCCTATAATCAGGCAAATCATCACTTTAATGATGTAAAGTAAAATTGTGTCATCCAGACAGCTAATATTTACTTCTTCTGTAACAGGTCTATAAGCCTGAGGCAATTGAAAATTGTGATCAGGACTTATGCCATACAATGTTTTGTTCATTTGATGCATGTACAATGTAGCTGCAATTCAACATCAAGGAGCTGTCGATAACTAAATAAAATGCTTCGCTGAGCGCAGCCTGATACGACCGCAGAGGTCAAACCCTGAACAGTTGGGGCAAATTTGGACACAATATTCAAGCTTGATACTGTCTGAATTTGGACTGTGATCAAATTTTTGACATAATATAGGTTTCTGACACAAAATAAATGTGGTCAAAGATCTTATAAATCCATTGCGCAATACTGTGCAATTGAAGATTTCTTCTAGAAACTTTTCAAAAATTCGAAATTTTAAAAATTTTGAAAAAAAAAATATGAATCCCTTAAAAAAATTGGGAAATAAATTCCCCCCCCCCCACCCCAACTTTTTGAAACCCCCCTTGGAGCAATAACCCCAAAACTCAATCTCAGCCTTTCCTTTGTAGTATGGAACCTTGTAGTACAATTTCAGAGAGATCCATACACTTACACACAAGTTATAGTCTGGAAACTAGAAAAATGCTTGTTTTTGGCCCTTTTTTGGCCCCTAATTCCTACATGTTTGGGACAATTAACCCCAAACTCAATCCAAGCCTTCCCTTTATTATATGGAATCTTGTGGTACAATGTCAGAGAGATTCATACACTTACACACAAGTTATTGTCTTGCAACTAGAAAAATGCTTGTTTTTGGCCCCTTTTTTGGCACTTAATTCCTAAACTGTTGGCCTCCATAACCCCTTAAAAGAACCCCAACCTTCTACTTGTGGTATTAAACATTGTGGTACAATTTCAGAGCAATCGAAATAATTATACACAAGTTATTATCCTGAAACTAGAAAAATGCTTGTTTTGGGCCCCAAAGGGACTCCTAATTCCTAAACGGTTGGGACCATCATCCCCAAAATCAATCCCAACCTTCCTTTTGAGGTACTGAACCTTCTTAAAAAATTTCATAGAGATCCATTCACTTAAACTAAAGTTATTGTCCGGAAACCAATGTGTCTTTGGACGACGATGCAGACGTCGACGACATCATACCATTATACGATCCCAAAAAATTTTAAGCTTTTAGACAGGCCGTTCTAATTGCATGTCAATAAGGAAACATTTATAAATGAACAGGAAGATGAAACAACAATTTATTGTATTACTGTAAATTCAGAAATTATTGCGAAAAATGCGACAGGGTTATATCGCAATAATTTAAACTCGCATTTTGAAATTTTTTATATGAATTAAACAGGAATTTTCTCAATATCGCAAAAATTATAATCGCATTTTAGTCTTAAATGACAAAATCGCAATAATAAATGCACGCAATAATTTCTGAATTTACAGTAATTAAATACTCCAATTACATTCATTTTTTACCTTAAAAAGTTTAAAGATGAGTTAGCAGTCACAAGATTTGCCCTGATGTTCATGTGATTCTTTTCTAATCCATATGCAATTAAATACATGTATAACTGATTCTCCATAATATGTCGTGTACAACATAAATGAAATCGGTACAGGTTTTTCAAATTTCAGCAGGTGCACAAAAGTTAGGAATTGTTTGAACTTTGATCCCTTAAAGTTTTTTCTAACAATAACTTACAATTATTTTCTCTACTTTTTTATTGTTATATCAATTATGACATACATGCAACCCTTACCATGCAGTGACTGTAATACCCTTAATCTCATCAATGGCTCTCCATACTTTTAGAGATTGGCTGCCTGATTTTGGAATACATACATGTTCTCTCAAATAAAAACTACTGATTGTTATGTCATAAGGTCAACATATTAAGCAAAAGACATGTGTCTAAACAAAAAATAATCTCTAAAAGGAGTAAGTTTGGTCGCCCTGATTATTAAGATCAATGCTTCAAGATAAAAAAATGTTCTAACTTGACGAAAAGACATGTATGAAAGTTAAATAGAAAATTAACACGATTAAACGTTGAATGCAGGCTTCGAAAAGGCTAAATATTCAAGTCAGATATGTAAAATGCTATAACAAACATTATGTTAAAAGATCTACTTTGTCAACACGTACATGCACTCTATGTTTCTTTCCAAGATATTGATGCAATTTCCCCATTTTAATTGAAACTTCGTGGAAAATCAAAATGTGTGCTATTTGTGACGTCAAAAAAAGAATACAAGCATGTAAATTTTCAAGAAAAAAAATATCTATCTACCATAGTCATCGTATTAGCTATGATTTGTTGTGATATTGGTCAATAAATCCTTAATTTAAAATAGTAACTACTAGAAATAGGGGCCATTTTAGGGCCTTATCAAAAATACTTCTTTATTCCAAATACTTTTGGAATTAAATAATCATATACATCAATAACATGGATTATCTGAAAAATGTCTATGCCAACAAAGGCCAGAGTTGAAAAATGGTCAAATGTATGTATACATGAGATTTTCCTCTAAAATTTTACAAAACTATCAGAAACCATGAAATATAAAATTATATATCATTTAAGAACTTTTTTTATGAAACTTGTGCATTTCTTTGATAGGGGCCACAAGAGAGATTTTAGGTGAGTTGTATAAGTAACCTGGGTCTCCCTCTTAAAATGAAATAATCATGACTTCCCCATAATCAATCTCCTACTTGTGCATGTTGTGATTGCCTGAACTCTTTATATAATTTAAATAGGTAGAGAATCCAGGATTTTAATTGGTGTGACCGTGTCATCTACATTTGTAGAATATGAATTTAATTTTTCTTTTAAATTGCAAAACAAATGCAGATTTTGGTGTTGATGGAAGATCTTTTAAAGTCTATTAAATATATTCACAACTTAAATGGAATTGACATAATGTAGGTCACACTAGTTTATTTTATGAGATCATTTGGCTGGATTGCTTCCTTTCAGTGGTAGATACTTAGTCAGTCGTAAACGTTTGAGCTAAGGATAGTTCTTTAGCTCAGTCAGTTAGAGTACTGATTAGAAACAGCTGTCCTGGGTTTGAGTCCCAGATGTGACAATATGATTTTGTAATGAGACTCATGCTCTCTGTTTACATTTATATGGTTGCATGAAATCTGCCTCTAGGATGTTTTCTTTCCTCTCATTTTAAGATTCATCATAACAATTGGACAAAAATGCCTGTACCCGAGTCAGGAATATGACAGTTGTTTTCCATTAGTTTGATGTGTTTGAGCTTTTAATTTTGCCATTTGATAAGGGACTTTCCGTTTTGAATTTTCCTTGGAGTTCGGTATTTTTATTATTTTACTGTTTACATGCGAAAAATTCACTGTAAATACAGTCAAACCTGTGCAGCTATAATTTTTTTATGGCCTACCATCCCCTAGATATATAAATTAAAATGTAATTTGCATTCCCTTAGGTAACAATTGTATTATATAAGTACAAAACTGTAACATTGCAACTGAGTGGACAATACAACATTATCAAATTTTTTTTCTTAACTAGATATTTAAACTTGGATGGAGAGTTGTCTCGTTGGCACTCATACCACATGTTCTTGTATCTAGATACATGTATTGTAGAAAAAACCAAACACAGTATAGGGTTGTGTGTTCGTTATTAGATCGCATTTAATATAACATATTTATCATATCCATAAATGCATCAAAATTCCAAATACCAGAATAATCCAGTTGTTTTATTCCAATTATTCCAACAAGAAACGGCAGTGGATGGAGGGCGCTGAATCATTCGAGCTAGTTTCGGATTATAATTAAATTAACGCATGCATACTACCAAACTTCTTTGAAAACATCCGGTTACAAGTAAATAAATAACGTACATGTAAGATGAGATGAAATCTAATAATTAACATAAATAAAAAGGTAGATATTAACACATTAAAACATGAGTGATTGTTTTTTCAAGCCTAGCTGTACATTTGTTTTATAAAATGATGCAGATGCTATTTTCCAAACTTGAAACCGATCATGTGTGAACATCGGTGTCAAGATATGGCATGGAAGTTTTGAAATTGTAAAGCACAGAAAGGGATACGGCAACACTACTGGTGATGGTTCAATGATTTCACAGCCGGCAGTATAGGATTTCAGAAGACTTCAAAGTCTTCTTCCCCCCAAAAATGAATCCTAAATTCTTGACCAGATTCTTTTATATTTCCGAAACACAAACTCACTGTATTTTACTATTTTTCTTAGAGATCTGTAGTCCAAATAATCATGTAATCTTGAAAGGCTATTTAAATTGATTTGCTATGACCCTATGAACATGATGTATGACTCTTAAGCTGGTGTCACTAAGAAAAAAATAAAACACTTAATAATGTTAATAGATTTCAAGGCATAATTATTTAGGCCTGGGGATCTGGTTGAATTTATCTGGGACTACTATAATAATAGTATAATGACTATTATACAAATAGTATAATAGTCCCAGAATTTATCTATATGTATTATCCCCAGAGGGGATGTAGGCCGTATACAACCTTTTCCAATTCAAGTTAAATTTTCGAGGTGTAACCAGCACAGGCACTTGTGATTTTTCGTACAAGTGTGGATACATAGTGAACCACCCATTGAAAGAAACAAGTATCTGTGATTTGCCACTGGTCCGTACTCGCCACTGTAAGCATTTAAAACTGCAATCCACATTAAAAATTATTTCAGAATTTAAAAAAAAAAATAATCAAACAATCAAAGGATGAAAAATGGTCAAAGAAAATACTTAAAATTTTTCGCATTCCGAACCGTGTCACGTGTGAATCAGTGTCAACTGTCATGGGAAATTACATTTGCAATGATAATTAGTTTTAAAGTTTGTCATCTGGTTCCTTACCACTTTTGCCAACTCCACCATCGCCTAAAATGACAATCTTATATTCCCTCGGTTTAGAATTGTCACAGTGGTGATTACTTGAATTCATATTTCCATTTTACTTGTCCGTATAGTTTACATTTTCTATGTTATGCTCCGTTTCCTTATTAAATTATTTATACCCAAAATATAGACTCTATAAATAGTAACTTTTATCTCTTTAAGGTGCGAGTTCGTTGATTGGTTGAAAGTTTGTTTGACGTAACTTCGGTCCAGACATATTTAACTCGCCACTAGTTCTTTCGACCATTTCCTTAGAACGTGAATTACCCGCCGCGCAATGATGTTGACAGTATATTTTTGCTGTTTTTGTTTAAAGTGGGTTCAGTCGTCAGAGATACCATAGCCAAATTATTACAGACATAATTTATTTTAAGAGCCATATATAAAACTGTCAAGCCCTCGATGACTTGACTAGTCGTATATGCAGGAGGTCACAATATATATGATATACATCTACTATATCATACCGGTTGATTTTTCTTTGAAATTTTGACACATTTTCGGCATATTTTATGTTTACTCTCGGAATAAGCTAGAGATTACTATAACAATTAGTTCTCTCAGGAATAAGCAAAGAAAAATATGCATTTAAAACTTACCTGTCGATTTTATTTTACCTAAATAATGAATGTTCAAGGTAAACATACAAGGCGTTGTAGTTCATATTTCAACTAATTCCTGCTTTTCAAGAAACAATAACACAACTTTCAACTTGAACGAAAAGCTATAATTTCACTTTTATTATTAAGCGTTCCGAAGGCTTAGTTTATCACATGTTAGCGGCAATAAGTGAAATTAGGCATATATATTAAGCTTAAATCCTAGGCAATTAGCTAACGCATAGGCAGTAAGTCTTTTGACTAAATGATGTTAGGCATTACTCTTTAGGATTTAAGGATTAAAGCTTAAATCCTGAAAAATATGTCCAGGAAAATAGGACATATTTATCACGTAACAGATATATATAGACTTAAATCTGTACGAGGATCAAGCCAATATGGTTGCTTTTCGAGTAACGTCTGAGCGATTAGCATTTTGGATTAAAAGACTACATTATATTATGATCACTTTGGAAAATTACCACAATATGTTGTAAATTGGTATGATGAACCCAAAGATTGGTGTAAAAAGTCAGGGGGCAACAGAGCTTTTTGCATTGAACTATCCACAAAAGACGACGATCCCCTCATGTACAAAATAACATTTTTCCTAAATACGGGCCTGATACAAGCACAAGGAAAAGCAAAAGACAAGTTTGCAAGTCACGATTTTCATGTACTAAAAGCATTAACTGACAAAATTATAGATTACAATAATAACTGTATCAATACAGATAACGGGTCACCATGCACAGCTGATGAAGTGAGTGAAACATCTGATATCAATAGTAACTCCACAAAAGTAGGAAATTACAATGAAAATCAAATGACAGCTGTGAAACAGATCGCTACTAGTGACAAAACTGAAACTCAAACTCAGGGGGAAAGCTGCATCCAAACTGATCTTGACAATTATAGGGCTGTTGTACAATTTAAACCAGAGCAACTCTTTGAACGAATGGAAAAAAACTTTGTCAAAGCTCTAGAGAAAGTATGTAATCAACAAGCTGACATGTTCAGTGTCAAAATGAAAGCTATGGAAGAATTTCATAATAAATCCTTGCAAGTCAATAATGAAAAATTTTATTAGGTACTTGAAAATATATCGAGTATGGTAAAACCTAACGTAGATCTTGACAAACTAGCAAATAAGATTCATATGGTTGAAAATGAAAATTCCGCATTTAAGGTCACAGTACAGGAACTCAAATATAAATCGGAACTGGAAAAAGCAAATTTACAATCGAAACTTGAATTGCAAACATCCAAATCTGAATCTTGTAAACAAACATATGAAAAATCTATAAAAGTTTTAGAAACAGGAGCTGAATCCTTGAATGAGAAATTACGTGACAAAGAAGACAAACTAGAAATGTTGCAAAAGTCGTATAAAGAATTAAGTTCTGTAATACAGGCAAAAGATGAGGAACTATTACTTGCAAAAGAACAAGAAGGTGCTGTAATGAACAAGGAAGAGTTCAAAACAGTAACTCATCAAAGAGACCGAACACAAGCTAGTCAGAGTAAACCAAAAAACACAGCAACATGAGGTGAAGGAAAGGCCTTCTGTAATATTAATTGGAACATCTAATATAAAAGAAATTGAACCGTCCAAATTATCCTCAAAATTTACCTTGAGGAAGCTCAATGCTTATACTTTTGAGCAAACAGAAAGCCAGCTTAGAGATGTAAACAAACCACCAGATGTAATAGCTTTTCACTCGCTTACAAATGAAATGGTGGAAAATTCAACGGAGCACTGTGTCAACAAAATGAAAGATATCATAACTTCAACGTTGGAGAAATTCCCATTATGTAAAATTGTGTTATCTGCTCCCACACCAAGGGCGGATAGTTGTTCACTAAATAGTCAAGGTCAATTAATCAGTGCTTTATTAAAGAATGAGTATGTAAATAATGAAAAGGTGTTGTTTTGCGACAACAGTAATCTCTCCTTCAAAGGAAAGGCAATTCAAAGATTCTTAAGTAAGGATCAATTCCATCTATCTTCGCAAGGTGTAAATGTGTTAGCATCAAATATAAGAGATGCAATTGATGAGGCACTACATCTCCCAAAACGTATACCAGCACAACAGAGAAATTCTGATTACAGGAATTACAGTCACACAAACACAGATTACAGAGATTGTTATGATTATGGTCAATCAAATACAGACTACAGGAATTACGATGAACCCCATAATAACAGTCCTAGAGGAGGTTACTACAGAGGCCGGGGACGTGGAAGAAAATGGTGACGATAATGATCATGATGGAAATTCTGTTAAATTACTTTATAATTAAATTTTTGGTTGTAAAAACTATAAGCTCTAAGTATTATTTGGTTCAATATTGTTAGTTTGTTAGTTGTTAAAATATTGGTAAATTTAGATTTTTTTTTTTTTTTTTTTTGGCTTTTTTTTCTTTTTTTGTATAACTAAAGTTTAGTTTTTTGTCACACATCTGTACACTCTTATTTTGTATTACTAAGAAGTGGATAATTTATTATTCCAAAAAGGGTAAACTTTATAAGTATAGTTACGTGAATATATAAATATAGGAAAACATGATCAAGAAAAAAGACACAAACTCTAACATATTTTCAAATTTATCATTCTGTGTCTGGAATGTTGGCGGACTAATATCAAAAAATTTTAATAAAACTTCAGACCCTTTATTTATACAAGAAATAGTAAAATATGAAGTGATTTTGTTAACTGAAACACATCTTGGTCATAACACTTCTGTTAATATTGACGGATACAGGTACTATCCAGTATGTAGACCACAATCCACCAATGCAAGATTTTATGGTGGTCTAGGTATATTGATAAAGAATGATATTCGAAATGGCATTAAAATTTTACAAAATACAAGCAAAGATTATCAATGGTTAAAATTTGACAAATTTTATTTCAACTTAAAAAAGGGATTTATTTCTTTGCTTGGCTTATATTATACCTAGCACCTCATATTATGCCAGTCAATCAGAAGATGACATTTTAGAAAGTATTGAAAAAGATATAGCCACAAAATTCAATAATCAAGGCCATATTATATTATGTGGGGATTTAAATGCCAGGACAGGGTCAGAACCTGATTTTATACAAGACGATTCAAGTGATGATCATATACCAATGTACGATAATTATAATTGTGATATTATACAACAAATTAGATGTAGCAATGATTGTAAAGTTGATAGTAGAGGTAAACAGCTTCTGGATTTATGTATCTCTTCCAAACTACGTATTGTGAACGGTAGATTGTGGGGTGATTCCTCTGGTAAATTTACTTGTATCAAACCAACAGGTTCAAGTGTAGTTGACTATGTTGTCATGTCAGAAGACTTGTTAAACACCACATTATATTTTCAAGTTTCTGATTTTATTTCTACTCTGTCAGACTGTCATTGTAAACTTTCATTTGGAATATTAGCAAGTTATTCTGTTGAGAGACAAGATCTGAATCAGAATGAAACAACATTCCCAGGTAAATACATTTGGTCAACCAAGGCGGGTCAAAATTATGTTATGCACTAACACAGGCAGATGCAAAATACATTATTAAAAATTTTCTCGACAAAAGTTTTGAGAATACACCTGAGGGCATTGAGAATGCTGTGAATACATGTCATGAAATAATAGTTAATGCTGCTAATAAAGCAACAGTCTTTAAAAAGTCTGTTAAGCAAAAAAAGCGTAAACATAAAAACTTCTTTGATACTGACTTAAAAACAAAACGGGAGATACTCATTTCTAAAGGGAAGCTCCTATCTAAATTTCCCTTTGATCCAAGTGTAAGGGGGTCGTACTTCAAATGCTATAGAGAATACAATAAATCTCGTAAACGAAACTTGAAAGAGAGAATTTAAACAAAAAATATTGGACAGTCTTGATGGGTTAAGGGAAGATAATCCAAAAGAATACTGGAATTTAATCAAGTCACTAAAAGATGATAAAAAGGAGGGTCCAGAAAAAACAGTAAATACAAATGTTTGGTATACCTACTTTAAATCACTTAATAAAATACCAGATAAATATAAATCTAGAATTAATCAAATTGACAAGATACTCAAAAACATGGAATTAAGCCACTCGTTCAATGAACTAGATTATAGGATAACCTCCAAGGAAGTGTAAGACACTATTTGTAAGATAAAATGTGGAAAGGCAGTCGGTTTAGATGGCCTTCCAAATGAAATACTGAAGAGTGGTGCTAGTATTTTGGCTCCATTATTTCAAAAACTTTTTAATCTTGTATTTTCTTCAGGAATATATCCCAAAAAATGGTCATCAGCATATATTTGTCCAATTTTTAAAGCTGAGGATCCATCTAAACCTGAAAACTACAGGGGTATTGCAATTAATATGTGTATAGGAAAACTATTTAATTCAATACTAAACAAAAGGCTTGATAAATATTTAGAAACAAATAATATCATAAATCCATGTCAGATTGGTTTTTCAAGTAAAAGTAGGACATTGGATCACATGTTTGTATTAAAAACTATAATAGATAAGTACACCAGTATGAAGGGTGGGAAACT